CCAGCCTTCAGAGGCAGGTGGACGCGCACAGAAACAGACACAACACAGACATGCCCACTGACAACCAACTCTTGGCCACCCCCAGACCCACCGTACTTGCAAGACTGACGCTCAAGCGCCTTTTTGGACCCCGCCACTGAGAAAGGCACACCTAGACACCTCCTACAGGCGCACGCAACACATTGGCTACACCCTGTGCCACGGAAACTGACATACCACAGCCGCCCACAGACACCCAGAGACCGCAGGCTGCTGCTTCACCAGAGACAATGGTCACACACAGATAATCACACCGACACCTGGTACTGCAAAGGCCGGCAGTAAATTGAGCTCCTACTGTGTGTCAGGTACTGAGGATATAGTCAGACAGACACGCCACAACCGGACACAATCTCACAGCCTCACTCTCCACATGACGGTCTCCTCAGATCTCTCAGCAGCATCCACCCGCCCCCCACCCTTGGCCCATCTCCTTAGGTTGACCCGTCCTCCCCCAGCCCCTTCCCCCCTGAAGTCCCCTTACTCTTGAGGACTCGGTAGCTGGCTTCTGCTACGTCGCCAGTGCAGATACCAAAAGGCTCCCAGGCCGGCCAGCACAATGACCAGGATGCCAGATGTCAGCCCCACAACCAGGCCTGCTACATCCACTCGTCCACGCCCTGTGGAGGAAGGGGGGAGGGGAGAGGGAGCCACTGCCCCAGGGGCTGCCACCCACCCCAACGTCCAAATGCCTTTCTCCTGAGGGAGGAACACTGGCCAAGAAGCAAGGCAGAGCTGGGGCTACTTCCTGGCTGTGTGATCTGAGGCAACTCACCTCACTCATTTCTCTGAGCCTCCATTTCCTGCTCTGTAAAATGGGACCATAATCCCTCTCTGACAGGTTGCACAAATTCAATGAGATTAAATGCACAGAAGACCTATGATCACTTCTCCTAAGCAATCCATCTGCTAAGACTGCAGGTGACACACTACAGGTAAGGTAGGGAGGTCAGGTGGCCAACTCTCAAGCCCCCCCCCCCCACTGAACACTGCCAGATTTAACAAATAATAATATAGGACACCCCACAAAACTTTACATACACAACAAATAATTTTTAAATACAGATATATCCCATATATTATTAAATGGGGACATACTTATTCTAAAACAAAATGATCCATGTGTATTTGAAATTTAACTCAGGAAGAGGGCGGGGGTAATTCCTATATTTTATCTGGCATGCAGCCCCTTTCAACAACCAGGCAACTGAGGGGCAAGGTCTCAACTCTGGAGGAACTGCAGAACCCACAGGAAGGCTTTGGAGTTTACCAGAAGGCTAGAAAAAAATCATTTATCGCCCTGGCTGGTTTGGCTCAGTGGATAGAGCGTCGGCCTGCGGACTGAAGGGTCCCGGGTTCGATTCCGGTCAAGGGCACATGCCCGGGTTGCGGGCTGGATCCCCAGTGTGGGGCGTGCAGGAGGCAGCCGACCGATGATTCTCTCTTATCATTGATGTTGCTATCTCTCTCTCCCTCTCCCTTCCTCTCTGAAATTAATTTAAATAATAAAACATTTTCATTTATCAATGGAGGAACTTAGGGACCTTCCTCCAATAACAAATGGCTGGGTGTCTAGAACTCACGTGTCCCCTTTCCTAAGGTGCAGCCCCTTTAGCAATCCAAGGCTTGTGTCAAGGGGGGGGGGGGGGTGTGCTTCGAGGACTCCAGCTTCATGAGGTCTTGCTGCTGGGGAGTCCAACTTTAGCACTGGGGCGGGGGGGTGAGGGGTTCCTCAAACAGCAACCCAGGCTTTTGGCTTCTTAACAACAAGCTGCTCTGAGAAGGCAGGCCCCCTCTGACATGTTTCAGGTGGATTCAAGCAGTAACCAGGCATCCATAGGCCTGTAGCAACGCCGTTACCTCCCCTAGCAACCCGTCTCCAATGTGAGGACTCCTGGCCAGACCTAGGGCCTGTTGCTATGGTACATCCACCCCTAGCAACCAGGCCAAAAGGGGGTGGGGCATCTGGTGCCTGGAAGGGGGTCCTCTGGTGGGCAGGAGGCCTAGGGTCCTGAGCTTGGCTAGGTGTGGTTGCTAGGGAGAAGGCCTCCTTAGCAACCAGGCCGAGGCCGGGATGGGCTGTGGGGAGGAGAAGCCAGCCAGGTAGTGAGTGCGGTGGCCAGCGGGCTTCCGTGGTCCGGCCAGGCCAGGCCTGGTTGCTAAGGAGCAGCCCCTCCCCCCTTAGCAGCAAGGCTGCAGCCATGCCGGGGCCTCTCAACTCAGAGGAGGGTTGGAGGGTGGGCGGACTGGTCCGGTGAGGATGCACCGGTTTCCATGGTCTGGCCTGACCAGGCTGTGTTGCTAGGGAACAACCCCCCTAGCAACCAAGCTGCAGAAGGGCTGGGGCTCTCTCAGGTGGGCCGGCGCCTCTGAGCCTGAGGCCTGATGGGCCCCAGGCTCCAACTCCTCCCTCCACCCTCACTTCCCGCTTCCTGGGAACATGGGACCTCTTGCAATGAGGTGTGGTGGGTTCCTCAGGCCCCGGCTCTAGTCTCAAAAGAGAGGACACTTTGCCCGGCTGGTGTGGCTCAGTGGTTGAGCGATGACCCATGCAACCAAGAGGTCGCCCGTTCGATTCCTGGTCAGATCCCCGTGCAGGAGGCAGCCAATTGATGTCTCTCTCTCTCTCTCTCTCAAAATCAAAGTTAAAAAATATTAATTAAAAAAGAGAGAGAGGACGCTTTTAACAACCACCTCCAGGGACCCAGGGATCGCAGAATTTGGGCTGGGAGTGTTGGTTCAGCCTCCATGGGAAGGGACTGCCTTAGGTGCACAGACCCAGAGGGCGTGGCCTCCCACTCACCTGCCTTGCCATTGTGGATATACGTCTCCCAAAAGCGCTTCTGGAAGGGGTGGGAGTAGAGAAGGTGGAAAGACAAGCGGTCAAAGGGCAGATTCCACACACCCAACCAGCCACCCAGATTTCTGAGACCAGAGGGTAGAGGGAGTTGAGGGCCAGGATCCCCCAGGGCCTGGGGCCCCCCAGGCTCTCACCGTCCGGGTATTATCCTCAAAGTACTCCCGGGCCTCTTCCCAGGAACACTTCTCCTCATAACACTCCCGCTCCAGGTTCCCTGGCGTGAACAGCTCCAGGTCCCAGTGATTGGCTCGACGAATTCGTCTGTGGCTGCCCAGGTAGCTCTGGGCCTCGGGGGAGTCCAAGAAGACTTCTGGGCCCAAAGAACACGAGGGACAGAAAAATGGAGGACTAGAGACATGGAGGAAGCTGAACTTAAGGGGAAGGAGGGGGTAGAGGCAAGGGTTCCAGGATCGGGGAAGGTGGATATCAGAGTCTTCCCCCAAACACTCACCTTGGTCTTGCTCCTCGCTGGGTGAGGTGTCCAGACAGGTGGTCAACCCCAGGTACAGCAGCAGCAGAGAGGGGTGGCCCCTGCCCCTCATATTTTGTGGACCACCTGGAACGAGGTGTGGTATAGATGACAAAGGCCTCCGCCCCGAAGGAAAGAGGCACGGTCTCCCTGCCTGGACTCCGTGGCCCGAGAATTATAATCATAATAGCAGATACTGCCCTCGCCTGTATTCTGGGCCAGACACTGTTCAAGGTAGTTTGCCTATATAACAGTTTAATTTTCACAATGGTGCTATTATTATCCCCATGTTATAGATGAGGAAACTGAGCCACAGAGAGGTCACAACTTGCCCAAGGTATACGGTTTGCAAGATTCCAGCAAAGGCAGCGGGCCTCCGGAGACGTGAGCCGGGAGCTTGTCTTTCCCCCCTCTTGTTTGCCGTCCCCCTCACAGTTTTGACACACAGTAAGTGCTCATAACCATGCCCATTGGCGATCAGGATCCCTTCCTTCCTGTTATTTCCACATGTATCCCTCTGTCTCTATGCCCATTGCCACATCCAGCGACAGAGATCAAAGATTACAGGAGAGGCAAGAACCAGGGACCTCAATTCTTGACTCCAGGGGGAGGTGGGGGAAGAGGCCCTAGACTCCTGGGCTTGGGGGCCCTAAATTTCTGGGACCCAGAGGGTCAGGGAGCCAGGATGCCAAGGTCCCCAAGCCAGGCTCTGCCTCCAGGGGTATTCACTTACCTGCCCAGACTTGTGAGCACTGTCCCCTCCTCCTTAATCGGGGCCTCCTAAGCCAGCTGTGGCCAGCAGTGTAGAGGGGCAGGAGAGAGGGGCGGGAAGAAAAAGGAGGGGTTCCCGGCTCCCGGTTCTCTGTAATCCTCCCTGATGATCGCGGCTTCTGGCAGAGGGGCGGGGTTTGCGACTACCTGCCCTGGGCGGGACTCAGGTAAGGGACAAAATATTTAAAGGGACCTTATGATGAAGGGCCTAAGGTCCAGGACCCTACAGGAAGGCTAGGGTCTAAGACACCCTGGGGGCACATAGGGAACTGGATAGGCGCCTCCTCCGCTCCTCCCGCTTCCCCAGCGGGAGTGCGCCCAGCCAAGTTAGGGAAACAAACGTCTAGGTCTCCAGATATCAGATATCTACGTATCTAGAAGCTGGCAGGAACGGTATGCCTTGACCCCTAGGGGTGGGTGGGTTTGCCGTAATTACATTCCTGTTTCCTGGGGCGATTTGAACGGCTCTGACTTGCGATTTCCCTATTGCTCCATTTTTAAATGGGGACAGAGAAGTTGTCCCCTATTAATTGTCTCTTTCCTTACAACAAGAAAAGTGGATGCTATATTTAAGGAAGTGGGTTCCCAATGCCTGGGGGAAGTGCTTAGTCCTTAAACTCGGGCTTGGAGAGACGCAAAGCTTTGGGTTACAAGCAAGGAAATCGCCTGGCCCGGGAGATGCCTAGCAGATGCAACTAAGCGCACCCCATAATCAAGCCAGCTTCCCTAAACGGAACCTTCGATCTGTCTCTCACGTTTCCGGTGGGAGGAAGAGACGAAGGGAGGACTTACCGAGCCAGACGAGGTACCTCCGCGACTAGGGGCAGCTTTATATCCGGTTTCCTTCGCCGCGCGGAAGTGGGTGGAGCTAAGAGGGAAAACAAGCGCTCTTTTCCGGGGTAGGGGCACGGTTGAAGCATCCACGAAGGAGCTAGGAGTCGTTTGTGAGGTGAGTTCCAGGAGGTGGAGGGATAGTGCTGCGGCCTCCTTCCCGCGGGCTGGAGTCCTAGGGTCCCGAGGAAGACCGGGACAGAATTTCGATAATACAGTCGTCTCTCAGTGTCTAAGTTTCTCCTAATTTAGAGCAGTCTCCCACTGCATTCTGAGTTTTTCTTTGTGTAACTGATTCATTGAAGAAACTGGGTCCGTTATTCTGTTGATAATTCCGCCATCTGAATTTTGTCTTTTTGCTCCTTTGTAACCTCGTTTCACTTATTCCGTTATGCCACGCGTCAGCAGGCCAAACTCAAATCCTGCTGGCCTCTTTAAAAAACAAACAAACAACAAAAAACAGCCCTGACCTGTTTGGCACAGTGGATAGAGCCTCGGTCTGCGGACTGAAGGGTCCCAGGTTCGATTCCGGCCAAGGGCATGTACCTTGGTTGCCGGCACATCCCCAGTCGGTGGGGTGTAGGAGGCAGCTGATCGATGTTTCTCTCATCGATGTTTCTAACTCTATCTCTCTCCTTTCCTCTCTGTAAAAAAAAAAAAAAAAAAATCAATAATATATATATATTTTTAAAAAAGCTTTATTGGCATACACTAATAATTCACCTAACATATAGTGCACTCATTTAAAGTGTACAAGTCAGTGCTTTTTGGTATATTCGCAGTGTTGTGCAACCGTCACCCTGATCAGTTTTAGGACATTTTCATCATTAGCGGTCACTCCCCATTTTACACCCCTTCCCCAGCACCAGGCAACCACAAATCTACTTCTCTCTGTATGGATGGACCTAATCTGGACGTTGCACGTTTCTGTCCGGCTCCTTTCACTTAGCGCAATGTTCCCAAGGTTCCTCCGTTTTGTAGCCTGTATCAGCTCTTCTTTCTGGCTGAGTAATATTCCTTTGTATGAGCTATACCATATTTTGTTTATCCGTTTACCAACCGATGGCCATTTGGGTTGTTTCCACCTTGGGGCTATTATGAAAAATGCTGCTATGAACCTTTGTGTACAGGGGTTTGATGTGGACATGTTTTCGTTTCCACTGGGGATGGAATTGCTGAAGCAAATGTAACTCTGTGTCTAAACTTTTGAGGAACTGCCGGAGTTTTCCGAGGTGGCTGCTCCATTTTACGTCCCCATGCTCTGTGTGTGAGGGTTCCAGTTTCTCCACACTTGTTATTATCTGACTTTTTTTTTTTTTTTAAAGTATTTTTATTGATTTCAGAGAGGAAGGGAGAGGAAGAGAGAGGTAGAAACAACAATGATGAGAGAGAATCATTGATTGGCTGCCTCCTGCACGCCCCCTACTGGGGATTGAGCCCACATCCTGGGTATGTGCCCTTGACTGGAATTGAACCCCGGGACCCTTCAGTCCACAGGCTGATGCTCTATCCACTGAGCCAAACCAGCTAGGACTATTATCTGACTTTTTATTTTAGTCATTCTAAGTCAATCTGAATTGGTATTTTATTGTGGTTCCGGTTGCGTTTTCTCAGAGATTAATGATGTGCAGCATTTTTTTCATGTGCTTCTTGGCCATTTGTATGTCTTCTTTAGAGGAAAGTCTATTCCAGTCCTTTGCTTATGTTTGATTTGGGTTGTCTTTTTATTATTGAGTTGTCATTTTTAATGTACTTTATATACAATTGTCTTTTACTAGAGTGATGCTTTGCAACCACCACCTGTTTTTTATGCAGCCTAAGAATGGTTTTAACATTTTAAATAATTAGAAAAAAAATCAAAAGAAGACTCATATTTTGAGACCTGTGAGAATTAGGCAGTGTGCATAAATAAAGTTTTATCGGAACACAGCCGTGCCCCATCATGCACATAGTGTCCACGGCTGCTTTTGCCATACAAAGGCCAGAGTCAAACAGTTGTGGCAGGGGCCACATGGCCCACAGAGTTGAAAAATCTTTCCTATCGGGCTCTTTTTTCTTTTTTCAGTTCTCACCTGAGGACATGCTTAGAGAGAGAAACATCGATCGATTGCCTTCCACACGTACCCCGACTGGGGATCGAACCTGTGATGCAGGTTTGTGCCCTGACCGGAAATCAAACCGGCAACCTCTCTGTGCACAGGGTGACGCTCAACCAGCTGAGCACTGTGGCTGGGCCGGGCCCTATCTGGCTCTTTGTGGTTAACAATCCTCTGACTTCCTAGAATCAGGAGGTTAAATTCTAAGGGCTTGATTAAAATTTAGGTTCTGCCATTTTTGATACAAGTACTTAGAGTTGGTAGCTTCATGTTGCGTAATGCCTCGTTGTCCCACTTTGGGGACGGTGAGGTTGTTGGGGGGCTCCAGGTGGTGTTTATGTTTGTCCCCTCCCCCCAAGTTCCTGTGTTGAAGTCCAGCCCCCGGCATAATTATTTGGAGATAGGGAAGTAGGTAAAGTTATATAAGGTCGTTAAGAGTGGGGTCCTGCCCTGACCAGTTTGGCTCAGTGGCTAGAGCGTCGGCCTGCGGACTGAAGGGCCCCAGGTTCGATTCCGGTCAAGGGCATGTACCTTGGTTGCGGGCACATCCCCAGTAGTGGGTGTGCAGGAGGCAGCTGATCGATGTTTCTCTCTCATGGATGTTTCTAACTCTCTATCCCTCTCCCTTCCTCTCAGTAAAAAATCAATAAAATATATTTTTTTTAAAAAGAGTAGGGTACTGTCCTGGCCGGGTGGCTCAGTTGGTTGGAGCAGCCTCCTGTGCACCAAAAGTTTTGGGGTTTGATTCCCTGCGAGGGCACATACCTAGGTTGTGGGTTCCACCCCCAGTTGGGGCACATACGAGTGGCAATCTCTCCTAGAGAGATTGATGTTTTTCTCTCTCTCCTTTCCTTTCTCTAGAAATCAATAAGAATCTATCCTTAGGTGAGGATTTTTTTAAAAAAGGTGGGGTCCTGACCCATGGGGTTGGTTCCTTATAAGGGGAGGAGATGCGAGAACAGGGAGAAAATAAACAAGTGCTGTCGAGGCACCCAGTCTCTGGTATTTTGTCTTGGCAGCCCTCGCCCACTAACACAGATAGGAACAGCGCAAGCCTCATTGTAAAGCTCCAGTTCCCTCCTTTCCACGAGCAAGTAGTAGCGCCCCGAGAATATCCAGTTCCCATCCGGTTTTCCGTCAACAATCATGGCCTGAATCAACTATGTCATCAGAGGTTGCAAAACAAGGGTTTTCCAGTTCTCTCATTCTGCCTACATTTTTTATCCGAGTGGTTTGGTTTTGGTCTTTTGTTTGTTTGTTTTAAATATATTTTTATTGATTTCAGAGAGGAGGGGAGAGGGAGAGAGAGATAGAAACATCAGTGATGAGAGAGAATCACTGATCAGCTGCCTCCAGCACGCCCCCTACTGGGGATCGAGCCCGCACCCCAGGAACGGGCCCTTGGCCAGAATCGACCCTGGGCCCCTTCAGTCCGCAGGCCGATGCTCTGTCCACTGAGCCAAGCCGGCTCGGGCTGGTTTTGGCCTTGAGCCACGTCCAAGAAGCTGTTGAAGGGCGTGACTTGTTCACAGTTCCATTCTGAAAAGCTCACTGGCTGGTCTGTGAAGGAACAGAGCGAGGAAGAAATCAGTTCATCCTCCTGGGCAGCAGTTATCTTTTTTTTTTTAACATATAGGTTTTTATTGATTTCAGAGAGGAAGGGAGAGGGGCGGGGGGAGAGAGAGAGAAACACCAATGATGAGAGAGAATCATTGATCGGCTGCCTCCTGCACGCCCCACACTGGGGATCGAGCCAGCAACTCGGGCATGTGCCCTTGACCAGAATGGAACCTGGGACCCTTCAGTCCGCAGGCCGACGCTCTATCCACTGAGCCAAACCAACCAGGGCTGGGAAACTTTTTTTTTTTTTTTTAATTTATTTTTTTAAATATATTTCATTGATTTTTTACAGAGAGGAAGGGAGAGAGATAGAGAGTTAGAAACATCGATGAGAGAGAAACATCGATCAGCTGCCTCCTGCACATCTCCTACTGGGGATGTGCCCGCAACCCAGGTACATGCCCTTGACCGGAATCGAACCCGGGACCCTTCAGTCCGCAGGCCGACGCTCCATCCACTGAGCCAAACCAGCCAGGGCTGGGAAACTTTTAAGTATGTTTGGAACAACTGGGGTAGTGAATGTATGCTTGCACCGATACATTTTATGAAACCTGTTTAAGAACAAGCATCTGCAATGCAAATGTAGTGTCTGACTGGAGGTATGTTGAATGAATGAAGTATATTCTGGATTTTGAAGACAAAAACAGCAATTCTCAGGCTGTGACCTCCCTGGGAGGGCCGACAGCTGTCACGTGGTTAGGAGTGCAGCTCCAGAGCTTGGCTGCCTGGGTTCGAATCCCGCCTCTGCACCTCCCAGCTGGGGGGCTGATTCTGTGAACTTGTTCGCTCCCTGTAAAGTGACAATGATGAGAAAGAATAGCTGGTGTGCCCTGGCCGGTTTGGCTCAGTGGTTGGAGCATCGGCCCGAGGACCGAAGGGCCGCAGGTTCGATTCCCAGTCAAGGGCACGTGCCTCGGTTGCGGGTTCAATCCTGTGTGAGAGGCAGCTGATCTCTCTCTCTCTCTCTCTCTCTCTCTCTCTCTCTGTCTCTCCCTTCATCCCTCCCTTCCACTCTCTAAAAAAAAATCAATGCAAAAAATAACCTCTGGTGAGGATTAAAAAAAAAAAAAAGAATAGCTGGTGTTACTTTGATGTGCCTCCGAGATACTAGCGGCAGCAGATGGCACTCGTCCCGTTTTCTATTTAGAAATTGGCCGCACAGAGGAGACAGTGTCACCCGGTGGCTGAAAGCTCGGCTTCCTGAGTTTCAAAACCCTGGCACTGCCACCTGCCAACCCTGCGACCCTTGGCCAGCGGTTCTCAAACTTTTTGGTCTCAGGATCTTACAAATCACTGAGGACTCCCACGAGCCTTCGTTGGCGTGAGTTCTGTCTGTGAAGACGTGCCCTCGCCAGGCCCTGGCCGGGCGGCTCAGTGGGTTAGAGCGTCATTCCAGTCCACCAATGTTGCGGGTCCGATCCAAGAATCAGTAAGTGGAACAACAAGCCCATGTTTCTCTCACTCTCTCTAAAATCAATTAATTAAAAACTCACTTAAAAATAAATAAAAAGAGCCCTGGCTGGGTGGCTCAGTTGGTTGGAGCATCATCCCATACGCCAAAAGGTTGAGGGTTCCATTCTTGCTCAGGGCACATGCCTAGGTTGCAGGTTCGATCCCCGGCTGGGGCATTGGATGAGAGGCAACCGATCGATGTTTCTCTCTCTCTCTCCCCCCCCCCTTCTTCTCTCTCTAAAAATCAATAAAAACGTATCCCCGGGTGAGGATTAAAAAAAAAAAAGACTGTGCCCTATGAGAAATTAAAACAGACATAAATTTTTTATTATATAATTAACATAACACTCATCCATTTACTAGTAAAGTGTACCATGCAGTGGTTTTTAATACAGTCACTATTTTGTGCCACCATCACCGCTTTCTGACTCCAGAATGTTTTCATCACCCCCAAAATAAACCCCACACCCGTTAGCACCCACTCCCCGTTCCTAACCTGCTCCAGCCACCGGGCTCCTCCTGTCTCGACGGGTTTTCCTCCTCTGGACATTTCTTACAGAAGGAATACCTGTTTTTTGTGCCTGGTTTCTTTCATTCCCATCATAAGGTAACGGACGTTTTGAAAGCCCAGGGGTGCACGGCACACGTTCAGTTGGCCTTCACAGGTCACACCACACTCGCTGCGCCATAGAGGACAGGGGCGGGCTCCTGTGAGGGTCTTGGGGGGTCTGTGGACCCCCTGAAGGTGCCTTAGGGGCCTGTGAGAGCCAGTGTCCTAAGCAAATGGCTTCGCTTCTTTTCTTTTTTTAAAATTTATTTTTATTGATTTCAGAGAGAAAGGGAGAGGGAGAGAGAAACATCAATGATGAGAGAGAATCATCATTCGGCAGCCTCCTGCACGCCCCCCACTGGGGATCAAGCCCGCAACCCACGCTTGTGCCCTGCCCGGAATCGAACCCGGGACCCTTCAGTCCGCAGGCCAACGCTCTATCCACTGAGCCACACCAGCCAGGGCTTCACTGCTAAGCCTCAGTTTGCTCCTGTGCACAGTGGGGCTGGTGATGGGACCCGCCTGGGGGAGGCTGAGGTTGGACGATGGGTGAGACGGGGCTCAGGGTTGGCACGTGGTCAGGGATCCAGCAGCGTTACTCTGATTATTCCCATGACTTCCTGGCAAGGTAAACAAACGAACAAACAAACAGAAAACCTCTCTCTAGCTGTTCCTCTCTCTCTTGAAGGAAACATGTCCCGGCCCGTGAAGCCAAAGACGTAGAAATACCCTGTCCTTGGCCATGAGACAAGCAGCCCAGCGCCAAATGCCGCAGAGGGTCAAGGCAGTTGACAGCTAAGAATAGACGGGGCATGTGTCCACGAGGAGGTCAAGCTGACCTTCATGAGTGGTAGTCGGGGGCTGGGCGGAAGCCGGGGGCCGGGGCGGAGGAGCGGGGGGCAGGTGAGCCAGGGAGGCAGCAGGTGCTGGGCACTTGCTCAAAAGCTTGGGGGCGGGAGGAAGTTGGAGGGGAGGCGCTGTGGGTCCGCGTGGGGGTTTCACCAAGGTCAGCTTCTGCAGGCGGCACAGTGGCCATGGTGGGGGGATCGCGGGGCTCTGCTTCGCTCTTGGGGGGCGGCTACCCGGGCGAGTACGTTTGTTAAAACGCGTGAATGCATCCTGAAGGCCTGTGCCTGTACAGTATTCTGTAGAAACAGACCCCCCCAAAAAAGTGGCTTCTGGAAGGCACCAGTAGGGGGCGAGCGAGATCCATGGTTCAGAGAGAGGGTTGTGTCTCAAGGTTTGAAAGTGAAAAGCAAGTTTCTGAAACTAACCAGAAGAGGGAAATAGAGATAAAGTTGCTTTTTACATGTGGGGAGCCCTTGGTTATGTCGGCCCTCCCCCCGCATCCTTCTCGAAACCAGAGCATAGAATATTCCTGTGTGTTCCAAGCTCTGCGCATGGCCTCACAGCAGCCCAGCCCCTCAGCTAGACCCCCTGGAGGTCCCCAAAGGAAACTGAGATTCGAAAAAGGGTCAGCCGCCTAACGTCACACTGAGTGGGGGGCCAGCCGGGGACTTGGCCCAGGACGGTCACATTGCTTAGTCCTCCTCACACTGCTCCCCGTAACCGCCTTGTTCCATTGACTTATTCTTGCTTATCCCCTGGTCAGTCCCTCCCCTACACGGGCAACCCTGTCATATGTGCATTGCTGCTGTTTGTAGGAGTTCTTTAAAATGTATCGTTTGGGCGCCTGTAGATTGTTAGTGATCTCCTGTAATTTTTGTTTTGTTTTGTTAATCCTCATTTTTTTTAGAGAGAGAGAGTGGGAGGGGGAGAGACACAGAAAAACATCAGTGTGAGAGAGAGACATCGATTGGCTGCCTCCCACACGCGCCCCGACCAGGGCCAGGGATCAAGCCTGCAACCGAGGTACGTGCCCTTGACAGGAATCGAACCTGGGACCCTTTATTCCGTGGTCCGACGCTCTATCCACTGAGCCAGACTGGCTAGGGCTGATCTTGTTCTTCTTTTTTTTTTTTTTAATATATTTTATTGATTTTTTACAGAGAGGAAGGGAGAGAGACAGAGAGTTAGAAACATCGATGAGAGAGAAACACCGATCAGCTGCCCCCTGCACATCCCCCACTGGGGATGCGCCCGCAACCAAGGTACATGCCCTTGACTGGAATCGAACCTGGGACCCTTCAGTCTGCAGGCCGACGCTCCATCCACTGAGCCAAACCGGTTTCGGCAGGGCTGATCTTCTTTAACTTCTTACTTTCACCCAACATTATGGGTTTTTTTGTTTATTTGTTTTGTTTCTTAAATTCTCACTCAAGGAGTGAGGATAGTTTTTCCATTGATTTTTTAGAGTGGAAGGGAGCGGGGAAGGGGGGAGAGGAGAGGAACTGGATGAAATTACCACGTGTGGCACACACTGTGTCCAAGATCCCTAAGGCTGGCCCTTGTCGGACCTCCTGGGTAGAGGCTGCAGGACCAACCGTTCCTCCTTTTGTTGTTGTGGTTAATCCTCACCCAAGGATATTTTTTCCATTGATGTTTTAGAGAGTGGAAGAGGGGCTGGAGTAGGGGAGAGAGAGGGAGAAGGGAGAGAAACATCGATGGGAGAGACACACATCGTTGGCTGCCTCTCACTCGAGTCCCGAGCAGGGCCAGGGATGGAACCTGCAACCGAGGCACGTGCCCTTGACCAGGAATCCAACCTGCGACCCTTCAGTCCACGGGCAACGCTCTAACCACTGAGCTAAACCGGCCAGGGCCGCATTGTGTTTTTATGATCTACCCATGATGCTTTGCACACACCTAGTCAGTTGCATCTTCGGGCTGGTCTCCGTGATGGGCAGTTACTGCCCATCCTCCCTGGGAGGGGGGACGTTCCGTTGCCCTTGACTCCCCTTCACTGTGAGGGACGCTGCTGTGGCCTTGCTCCCTTGCTGGTCTCTCTGAGACTGGCTTTGGGGCACATACGCCCCCGTGCAGACGAGCCTACGCTCACTTTGCTGAAGGGCCGACAGCCCGTTCCAGGAAAGGCTGACCCCGTCCCCTCTTCCCGCAGCGTCACCCGCGGGTTCCCGCGGCCCCATCCCCACCGCCTGGCCTTCTCCACCTTCCCGAGCTGTGCCCGCCGCCCGGCCACGTGTCACATGGTGCCTCACTCGTTCCCACCTGACGGGACTCCGAGCAGCTCTGCCCTTGTTGGTCTTTGAGCGGCTTCTGTCAGCTGCGTCTTCGCGTCCTTTGCTCGTTTTCCTCTTGCGTCGCTGGTTTCTTCATGTCGATCTGCCAGTTCCACTCCGCCGCTTGCTTTGAAAACTCGGAATTTACTGCAATGGATACATTGGGGATCGACTTGAGGGTAAAGCAGATTCCCCCTCTGCTTACATGAGGCTTCACCCACGAGAAAGGCTAAGTGAACCCAGAAACTTGCCCTCAGTTGACATGAGCGTAGGCCGACCAAGCACACGCACACACGCGCCCCGAACGTCAGCCGGGCGCCGCAGGGCCCCAGTGTGCAGTGCCGGAAGCCGGTCCATCCTTGCTGCTTGACACAGTCGCTGCAGGGAAGAAACATCTGCACAGCATATGTTTCAAGGGACCTGGCGTATATGGCGTACTGTTCTTAATATGTTTGCTCCCCTTCTTAGCACTATGTGTTTTAACCAAGGTCACCTCTCCGAGAAAGGTTGTTTCCCCCGGTGGGGATTTTTCCCTGGAGTTAGGGATTAACAGGACTAAGGAAGGGAATAAATCAGTAAAACCCCTTAACTAAGTGCCAGGCGGGGAGTTAATCACTTTAACTACGAGCCATCACACTTAAGCTACATAATCTTTACTTAGGATAATCTCCTTCAGTTACTTCCTTGTAGCTGAACAGAACAATAGAGTAGTGACCTTGGAATGGAGATAACAAACGCCCTAACCTTTGGAATAGAATGGATAGGATTAAAATCAAATGGTATAAAGACAGATGTAACAGGAGAATAAGAACAGAACCTGGCTAGAGATCCTGGCTAGGCTGCTGATCAACTGAATGCTGTCTCCTTGTCATTTCTTCTTCATGGACTCTGTCCACACCTTTGGGAACCCCTGGACCTGCTGGGGTTGGACCCCAACAGTGCAGGGCCTCACCCACCCACAGCTGGTGCTAGAGCTTTCCCTCAGCCCTGGCTGGGGTGGTTCATTCGATTGAGTGTCATCCCATGAACTGAAAGGTCAGGGTTGTGGGCTCGATCCCCAGTAGGGAGGGTGCAGGAGGCAGCCCATTGATGTTTCTCTCTCCCTCTCCCTTTAAAATCAATAAAAATGTATTTAAAAATAAATAGAACTTTCCATCCGATTTCAGGTAACTCCTCCCACACCTCCTAAGGCGCACCCCTGCCAGCAGGACACCCACTTCTGTGAGCAAACTCCGGGTCTTTTTCAAGGTAAAGCGACGTCTCTCTTTTGGAACGTGCAGGAGTTCCTTAAGCATTTAACGTGTGGGAAACTGTCCGCCCCTGCCCCACCGCCAGCTCAGCCCCGAGGGCTGTGAAGGCCCGTCCTCCCAGTCCCTGTGCGGCTCCCTCTGGCCCCCACGGCTCCCTCTGGCCCCCACGGCCCTCCAGCTGCCCCTCCTTCCCTCCCCAGGATGACGCGGCACGGCAAGAACTGCACGGCGGGGGCCGTCTACACCTACCACGAGAAGAAGAAGGACACAGGTACTGGGTGGGAGGGGACAGATGCGTCTCGAAGCTACCATCTCGCTTGGCACTGACTGCGCTTTCTGCGCGTGTCTCTCTGCCCTTGGTGGTCATGGCCACATAAGTGACAGCCCACCACCCAGCAGCCCTGTTCCCCTCCCCCACCCCACGTGATGGGCACCGCCTTAGGTCGCTCTGTAGGTGAACACGGCTGATCCTCCCGTGGAAGGGTCACTGTTGCCATAGCAATATTCCCGAAGAAGAAACGGAGGCCCCGGGCGGTCAGGCTCCACAGCTCGGTCAGAGCCAGAGGGCTTCCGGAGCCTGTCGCCTACCCGCTGGGTTAACACCTTCCTGTGGGCAGTGCGGTCCTTGCCCCCAACACACAGACACACACAGCCCACTCTTTTTTTTTTTTTTTTTAATCCTCACCCGAGGATATTTTTCCACTGATTTTTAGGGAGAGTAGAAGGGAGAGGGAAAGACAGAGAGAAACATCAATGTGAGAAAAACCCATCGATGGGTTGCCTCCTACACGAGCCCCGACCAGGGCCCAGGCCGGGGAGGAGCCTGCAACTGAGGTACGTGCCCTTGACCGGAATCGAACCCGGGACCCTTCGGTCCACAGACAGACGCTCTATCCTCGGAGCCAAGCCGACTAGGGCCACAGCCCACTCTTGACTGCCTGTTTCTCTAAGTCTCCTCACCTCTGAGTTCTCAGTGCCTCTCAGTTTGAAGAGAGGCATGTCTCCTCTCTCTCCATCCCTTTTCTCTTTTTTAACTTTTTAAATATATTTTTATTGATTTCAGAGAGAAAAGGAGAGTGAGAGAGAGAGAGAAACATCAGTGATGAGACAGAATCACTGATCGGCTGCCTCCTGCAGGCACCACACTGGGGATCGAGCCCACAACCCGGGCACGTGCCCTGACTGGGAATAGAACCGTGACCTCCTGGTTCATAGGTCGACACTCAACCACTGAGCCACACTGGCTGGGCTCTCCATCCCCTTTCTTTTTTTTTTTAATATATATTTTATTGATTTTTTACAGAGAGGAAGGGAGAGGGATAGAGAGTTAGAAACATCGATGAGAGAGAAACATCAATCAGCTGCCTCCTGCACACCTCCCAGTGGGGATGTGCCCGCAACCAAGGTACATGCCCTTGACTGGAATCGAACCTGGGACCTTTCAGTCCGCAGGCCGACGCTCTATCCACTGAGCCAAACCAGTCACGGCGATCCCCTTTCTTGTCTGTCCCCAGCGGCCTCGGGCTATGGGACCCAGAACATTCGACTGAGCCGGGATGCCGTCAAGGACTTCGACTGCTGCTGCCTCTCTCTGCAGCCCTGCCATGACCCCGTCGTCACGTGAGCTGGGCACAGGGGTGGCGAGGGCAGGGGAACACGGGAGGGGTCTGTTGGAGTGGGTCTAGCCCAGCCGTGGGCAAACTACGGCCCGCGGGCCCGTTTGAAATGAATAAAACTAAAAAAAAAAAAGACCGTACCCTTTTATGTAATGATGTTTACTTTGAATTTATATTAGTTCACACAAACACTCCATCCATGCTTTTGTTCCGGCCCTCCGGTCCAGTTTAAGAACCCACTGTGGCCCTCGAGTCAAAAAGTTTGCCCACCCCTGGTCTAGCCACTACCTCTCAGGTTCAGGGTCCTCGTCTGAGAGGTGGCATGATCCTGCAGGTGTCATGGTGGGGCGTGGAAAGAATATGTTTGTAACAGAGGGGCGGGCCCATCACAACAGCTGGCCTGTGGAGCACGTCCCGTCACCTGCCTCCGATGACCCAGCAAAGGCTCCCACGAGGTCATAAGTGTCGGCCCTTGGCCCAGTGCCCGGATGTGGGCTTGGTCCCAGGTCTGTTACAGAGACGGTGATGGGAGTGGACGGTGGCCCCGGGTCCCTGCAGCCACCTTCAGTTCCCTGAGCCCCTAGAAGGCCTCACAGAACTCAGTGCCAGTTGATTAGAGGGAAAGGATACAGATTAAAATCAACAGAGGGAACGCCCTAGCCCAGTGGTCGGCAAACTCATTAGTCCACAGAGCCAAATATCAACAGCACAACGATTGAAATTTCTTTTGAGAGCCAAATTTTTTAAACTTAAACTATATAGGTAGGTACATTGTTATTAGCTTAACTAGGGTGCTCCTAAGCTGGCCTTTGCTAAAAACGTCCTCAATCTGATTGAGGTACGTTCGCTGAGGTCGACCCCTTCCAACTCTCCCATCCACACTCGTCTTGGATACTTGTTTCGTCTATCTCCTTTCGTTCATCCTCTCTGTATGTCCAAACCATCTCAACATACCTTTCTCAATCCTCGCCACTACATCTTCTTTCACTCCACAACGTTCCCTGTACGTGCGCGCCCACACGTGGTATTTTGTGGAAGAGCCACACACAAGGGGCCAAAGAGCCGCATGTGGCTCGTGAGCCGCGGTTTGCCGACCACTGCCCTAGCCGGTTTGGCTCAGTGGATAGAGCGTCAGCCTGTGGACTGAAGGGTCTCGGGGTTGATTCCCAGTCAGGGCACATGCCCGGGTTGTGGGCTCGATCCCTGGTGTGGGGCATGCAGGAGGCAGCTGATCAATGATTCTCTCCCATCATTGATGTTTCTATCTCTCTCTCCCTCTTCCTTCCTCTCTGAAATAAATAAAATATTTCTATTTAAAAAAAGTAAAATCAGCAGAGGGAAAAGGCACAAGGAGACCAGCACTTAATTCTTCCAGCACCGCCCACCAGGGACGCCCACCTGAGAGCCCGGTGTCCAGGGTCCTTATTGGAGGTTGGTCACGCGGACATGACCATCCCCTCCAGAGGTCCAGTTGATACTGGTGAACAAAGGCACCCTTCCAGGAGGGCTTAGGGGGCCCCTCCCCGGGCCGGCCCCTTGGAAGGTGCAGGGTGTGGGCAGCCCAGCCTGCTGAGTAACCCTTCCCGCAGGAGGTTCTCCCTGCGCATCAGAGCGTGTGACTGAGCCAGGAGGGTCAGGACAGTGTGGTCACCTCAGGGAGCTGAGCTGAGCGCTGAGCCGCTGCCCAGGGCAGGGAGCCGTGTGCCCATGTTCTCTCCTCCGTCCTCTGCAGCCCGGACGGCTACCTGTATGAGCGCGAGGCAATCCTGGAGTACATTTTGCACCAGAAGAAGGAGATCGCCCGGCAGCTGAAGGTGAGTGGGGGAGGAGGGGGCACGGGGTGTGTTGGGGGTTTCGATGTGAGCTCACCAGCAGGGCCTTGCTCACTTGTCCCCGCTGCCCGCAGGCCTACGAGAAGCAGCGGGGCGCCCGGCTGGAGGAGAGGAAGGAGCTGCAGCGGGCACACGCAGGACCAGGTGCGGGGCTTCCTGGAGAAGGAGGCGGCCATCGTGAGCCGGCCCCTCAACCCCTTCACGCCCAAGGCTGCCTCGGGAACCGGCCCAGGTGAGGGGGGGCAGGCTTGCGGTGGGTGGGGGTCCCCAGGGCCGGGTACCTAACCGAGGCACCGCATTGGAACCCCTCTGCCTCCTGTAGATGATGCCCAAGCGGGTCCCAGCGCCGCCGGCCCCGCGGGCAAGGACAAGGACAAGGACAAAATGCTGCCCAGCTTCTGGATCCCGTCGCTGACCCCCGAGGCCAAAGCCACCAAGCTGGAGAAGCCGGTGAGCACCCCCTGCCGGCAGGCACCCCTGCGCCCACTTTGCCAGCGTCTCCAGGGCACCCTCCCCGGGACCCTCCTCCTCCCGCACCTGGCCCAGCCCCGCCTCTCTCCTCCTCCAGTCGCGCACGGTGACCTGCCCCATGTCCGGGAAGCCTCTGCGCATGTCCGACCTGACGCCGGTGCGGTTCACGCCTCTGGACAGCTCCGTGGACCGCGTGGGGCT